TTTGAATATTACATGTTAATAACTTGATTGGAATTATAACCTTGAGTTGACAGTTTGATACTTTGAAAATTTTGAGCCAGCCCTACCCCCAAGGGCTGTAGGGTGGGGCTCAAGGGAGTCAGTGTGCTAAAATTTCTTCATTTTCCTTGTTTAGAATCAGAGGTGCTAGTTTCAAATCCTTTTTAGTCTGAAATCTGTATGCTTGATATTGAATAAGGTGGTTTTATTGTTTTTTGTCACTTTGAATAATATTTCTGTTCATGTTAAAAACGAAATCAACTCTCTGTATAAATATATCAGGTGACCGTTAAGGCCCATGGGCCTCTTGTTTTCTTCAATGCATTATTTTTTTGTTTCGTTATTATACATTAGTCGGAGATAAAATATAACCTTCCATGTATATCATACTTAAGGAATACACATACTTGTTATGAACCACTAGGATTTCTGTCAGCAAAAAATAATCCTTTTATTACAGGCTGATGATTTCTCATAAGAGTCTTCAAATTTATGAGTTACAAAGCTTAATTCAAATAAATTTGTTTTCAGTTAGACTATAATTGCGTGATTTCTATTTGCAGATTTAAGACTACATGCAATAAACTTGCCCAGCAGGGTAACAACAACAGATAGGGGAATGTCTTTTATTGCAAGTAAGAATTCTCATTTATTTTAAATCTAAAACAAGTATTAAGATGTCATGTCCATTTAATTTCAACTTCTTCAACTTTTGCAATTGTGTGGTCACTTGAAGAATGTGGTGGATTTTAACCTAGTAATCTTTTTAAGACATACACAAATGCATTTTATATGCTCAAAACTGAGATCGGAACAAAAGGAATAAACTTTACCTATCAGATATTAAGAACTGTATCCTTTGCTTTTCAGATTTTCAGTTAACAACCTTAGATTTGACAAATTATATTAATGTTGGTGATGAAGGTATGTCACACATAGGAAAGATTTCTAGGTAAGTAGACAACCCCGAAACAGGCAGCCTGTCTATAATGTATATATACTGTGCTACCTACTGCTCAATGCTACCTGTGACCAGTCTAAATTGTCCAAAAAAAGGCTTTACATATCTATTAACAGATTTTCATCAGAACATTTCATATTTATATACTCGTAATATTCAGTACTTTTGCCAAATAACAACAGATATATATATTGCAATATTTCCAAGTATCTTCCTTATCACATTAGTGAAACAATCATTGTTATTGCCATTTCTCAAAAAACTTCTGAGTAGATCTTTCTTAAATATTTTGTGATGGTTCCCCTTGCTGTGCATGTTTTATTTGGAGACTGATTAGTAAAACAAGGTGGCCACCAGGCAGCTTGAGAGTTTGAATTTTTTTTCACTATTTCACAAGAAGTACTTGACAGATTATTCTCATATTTCATTTGAAGGTTCTCCTTAGTCCATAGTGGTTGTGCATATTTCATTTTGTAAGCTGATTGATAAAAAACAAACAACTGCCTGGTAGCCATCTAAGATTTTGGGAGCTCAAGTTTGTTATCACTGTTTCTCAAGAGGTAAACAATGAGCTCTGACCTCACTGTGAAAGGACACTCTCAAATTAACATGTAAATCATAAGTTACCTCAAGATACGTATACTGTCAAAAAGACTATCAATCTAACAGATAAGAACAAAGAAGAGAAATTAAGGGAAAATGTTAACTTGCATAGCCCAGATACCTCTGGAATCTCTTGTCTTTAGTAATTTTTCTGTCCATCAAATATTTCCAAATGAAAGAGATACAGTTATAGGTTAAAGTCGAAGTCTTGAAATTAGGTCTCAAAAAACAATAAGGAGTTTTCTTGCTCATATCTTAAGAAATTTAATAGCATTTATACACAAAGTAAATGTAAGTGATACAAATCTATACCTTTTACAACAAGAATAAAAGATGTCAAAATTGTTTGCCAATATTAAAACATGCAATGGGGTAAACAGCAGTACATTGTCATCTATGGAAGTGTCAGATTTTCAAAGTTCATAGTACATGACGTTGTATAACATTATTTATCAATAAAGAGTGTATTGATGCTAAAAAAGTACAGAACTTGAATTTTTTACTGCTAAACATTTCCTTCATTTCTAAAGTTCAGTAGCATGTCTTTTAATGAAGCATAATCATCTACAACCTAAATTTCAGTTTGCGGAAATTAATGCTTGCAAATACAAAGATAACGGATCAGGGCATGTTTTTGTTAGAAGGTAAGTTATGCTTTGATAACTATTAATTTTAGTTTTCTGAAAACAATTCTATTGACTTACATGTGCAAAAAAAATTGATTATCTAGGTCACATGACATAGTCACAGAGGTAGACGTGAAAGCACATCCCATTTCATTTTAACATGGTGCGATAGATGTAACAAGGATTTTTGTATTTTTAGTGGAGTATAGATAACTAAAAATTCCAAAATGTTGTAAAAATCGATTAACTCAGGGCAAAGATCGTGGTATTCATTACTTTTTACAACATTCTTTTACTTCATGATGTATCCTACTATTATTCACACATGTATTGATTATTCCTTAGTTTAAAAGATGTAAATATAGTTTGATCCTGATTTTGATATCTCCTTTATTTAACAGGTCTTTCAAACCTTGAAGTATTATACCTTGACAAAACGAATGTCTCGGACCAAGGGGCTGCTGTGATAAAAAGTTGGTATACTTTTAATTGAGAGATCTTAAACAATATGAATAAATGTGTAATAGTAAGTGCCAATGTCATTGGTTGCATTTTGCTCAGAAGGTATTGGAAGCTGAAAAAAATGAAGCATTAATTCTTTTAAGTACTTTGTAGTGGCATTTTGCCAAAAAAATGTGGGAATTTATGTTATTAATTTCATGTCAAGTCAACCGTTGATGATATAATAATTTGTCTATATCTCATCAACTTTTATGTGTTTATGCCAATTCAAAATAAGAGAAAATAGGCTCTCTGTCATTGATTGAAAAAATATGTTATTATCGTATTATCAGTTGTGAAAAGATCTTGTTTTTTGACTTAATGTCTATGGATTGTGACTTGCAGGTTTCCCAGGTCTAAGGGAGCTGAGTCTTTCTTCCACATGGTAATTGCTGATTATATTTCAAATTATTTCATTTAATTATAAGGAAATATAATAACCATTATATAATCACTGTCTTTCTGCCTATCCATCCATAGTTAGGATTCTGGAGATTATCTTTGAATCCAGAAGACTAATTTTTTCTGAAATTGAACATGGTGAGAGGGAGATGGGCAATAGAGGTTAAGTTTTAAAGGTCAGCTACGAAAAAATAGGCCATGGTGATAAAGTCAAATTTTGAAAATTTGGCCTCTAGTAGGTAGGACCGATTCAACATGAACATATTTTTCTACATGATTTTGGAGAATAATTCTAATTTTAAAGCACATGATTGATCATGAGCTAAAACAGTGTTAGGCCAATCCGATTGGTAATATAGCCAATATTCTTTTGAGCAGACTGCATGCATGAACCTTTCATGGTTTTCGTGGTACCATTACTATTCAGGAGGTGTGATATATGATTCTGTTTCTGTGATCAACAGTATAACAAGCGCTCTACTTCAAGAAAGCACTCTGAACAGATGTATCAACCTAACTAAAGTCAACCTCAGCCGTACAAGTGTGACAGAGAGAGGTAAGGTCAAGTCAGTCATACAGGTGTGACAAAGAGGTAAGGTCAAGATCCGTAATACCGGTGTGACAGTGACAGAGAGAGGTAAGGTCAAGATCAGTAATACCGGTGTGACAGAGAGAGGTAAGGTCAAGGTCAGTAATACCACAGGTGTGACAGAGAGAGGTAAGGTCAAGATCAGTAATACCGGTGTGCTAGTGACAGAGAGAGGTAAGGTCAAGATCAGTAATACCGGTGTGACAGGGAGAGGTAAGGTCAAGATCAGTAATACCGGTGTGCTAGTGACAGAGAGTGGGAAGGTCAAGATCGGTAATACCGGTGTGACAGTGACAGAGAGAAGTAAGGTCAAGATCAGTAATATCATTGTGGCAGAGAGAGGTTAGGTCAAGATCAGTCATACAAGGGTGACAGTGACAGAGAGAGATAAGGTCAAGATCAGTAATACCGGTGACAGAGAGTTAAGGTCAAAATCAGTAATACCGATGTGCTAGTGACAGAGAGAGATAAGGTCAAGATCAGTAATACAAGTGTGACAGAGGTAAGGGCAAGATAAGTCATACCGGTGTGACAGGGAGAGGTAAGGTCAAGATCAGTAATACCAGTGTGACAGATGTAAGGTCAAGATAAGTAATATCAGTGTGACAGAGAGTTAAGGTCAAGATCAGTAATACCGGTGTAACAGGGAGAAGTAAGGTCAAGGTCAGTAATACCTGTGTGACAGGGAGAGGTAAGGTCAAGATCAGTAATACCAGTGTGACAGATGTAAGGTCAAGATAAGTAATATCAGTGTGACAGAGAGTTAAGGTCAAGATCAGTAATACCGGTGTGACAGGGAGAGGTAAGGTCAAGATCAGTAATACCAGTGTGACAGATGTAAGGTCAAGATAAGTAATATCAGTGTGACAGAGAGTTAAGGTCAAGATCAGTAATACCGGTGTGACAGGGAGAAGTAAGGTCAAGGTCAGTAATACCTGTGTGACAGGGAGAGGTAAGGTCAAGATCAGTAATACCAGTGTGACAGATGTAAGGTCAAGATAAGTAATATCAGTGTGACAGAGAGTTAAGGTCAAGATCAGTAATACCGGTGTGACAGGGAGAGGTAAGGTCAAGGTCAGTCATACAGGTGTGACAGTTACAGAGAGAGGTAAGGTCAAGGTCAGTCATACAGGAGTGACAGAGAGAGGTAAGGGCAAGGTCAGTCATACAGGTGTGACAGAGAGAGGGAAGGTCAAGGTCAGTCATACAGGTGTGACAGTGACAGAGAGAGGTAAGGTAAAGGTCAGTCATACAGGTGTGACAGTGACAGAGAGAGGTAAGGTAAAGGTCAGTCATACAGGTGTGACAGTGACAGAGAGAGGTAAGGTAAAGGTCAGTCATACAGGTGTGACAGTGACAGAGAGAGGTAAGGTCAAGATCAGTAATGCCGGTGTGACAGGGAGAGGTAAGGTCAAGGTCAGTCATACAGGTGTGACAGAGAGAAGTAAGGTCAAGGTCAGTCATACAGGTGTGACAGAGACAGAGAGAGGTAAGGGCAAGGTCAGTCATACAGGTGTGACAGAGAGAGGTAAGGTCAAGATCTGTAATACCGGTGCGACAGTGACAGAGAGAAGTAAGGTCAAGATCAGTAATATCATTGTGGCAGAGAGAGGTTAGGTCAAGATCAGTCATACAAGGGTGACAGTGACAGAGAGAGATAAGGTCAAGATCAGTAATACCGGTGTGACAGAGAGTTAAGGTCAAAATCAGTAATACCGATGTGCTAGTGACAGAGAGAGAGAAGGTCAAGATCAGTAATACCGGTGTGACAGAGAGAGGTAAGGTCAAGGTCAGTCATACAGGTGTGACAGTGACAGAGAGTTAAGGTCAAGATCAGTCATACAGGTGTGACAGATGTAAGGTCAAGATCAGTAATATCGGTGTGACAGAGAGGTAAGGTCAAGATCAGTAATACCGGTGTGCTAGTGACAGAGAGAGATAAGGTCAAGATCAGTAATACAAGTGTGACAGAGGTAAGGTCAAGATAAGTCATACCGGTGTGACAGGGAGAGGTAAGGTCAAGATCAGTAATACCAGTGTGACAGATGTAAGGTCAAGATAAGTAATATCAGTGTGACAGAGAGTTAAGGTCAAGATCAGTAATACTGGTGTGACAGATGTAAGGTCAAGGTCAGTCATACCTGTGTGACAGAGAGTTAAGGTCAAGATCAGTAATACCGGTGTGACAGGGAGAAGTAAGGTCAAGGTCAGTAATACCTGTGTGACAGAGAGGTAAGGTCAAGGTCAGTCATACCGGTGTGACAGATGTAAGGTCAAGATCAGTAATACCGTTGTGACAGGGAGAGGTAAGGTCAAGATCAGTCATACAGGTGTGACAGAGAGAGGTAAGGTCAAGATCAGTAATACCGGTGTGACAGGGAGAGGAAAGGTCAAGGTCAGTAATACCTGTGTGACAGAGAGGTAAGGGCAAGGTCAGTCATACCGGTGTGACAGATGTAAGGTCAAGATCAGTAATATCAGTGTGACGGGGAGAGAAAAGGTCAAGATCAGTAATACCGGTGTGACAGAGAGTGGTTAGGTCAAGGTCAGTAATACCGGTGTGACAGGGAGAGGTAAGGTCAAGGTCAGTAATACCTGTGTGACAGAGAGGTAAGGTCAAGATCAGTCATATCGGTGTGACAGAGAGAGGTAAGGTCAAGGTCAGTCATACCTGTGTGACAGGGAGAGGTAAGGTCAAGATCAGTAATACCGGTGTGACAGATGTAAGGTCAAGATCAGTAATACCGGTGTGAAAGGGAGTGGTTAGGTCAAGGTCAGTAAAACCGGTGTGACAGAGAGTGGTTAGGTCAAGGTCAGTAATACCAGTGTGACAGAGAGGTAAGGTCAAGGTAAGTCATACAGGTGTGACAGAGAGGTAAGGTCAAGGTCAGTCATACAGGTGTGACTGAGAGTTAAGGTCAAGATCAGTAATACCGGTGCAACAGGGAGAGGTAAGGTCAAAGTCAGTAATACTGGTGTGACAGAGAGAGGTAAAGTTAAGGTCAGTAATACCGGTGTGACAGAGAGAGGTAAGGTCAAGGTCAGTAATACCAGTGTGGCAGAGAGAGGTAAGGTCAAGGTCAGTAATACCTGTGTGACAGGGAGAGGTAAGGTCAAGATCAGTAATACCGGTGTGACAGATGTAAGGTCAAGATCAGTAATACCGGTGTGAAAGGGAGTGGTTAGGTCAAGGTCAGTAATACCGGTGTGACAGAGAGTGGTTAGGTCAAGGTCAGTAATACCGGTGTGACAGAGAGGTAAGGTCAAGGTCAGTCATACAGGTGTGACAGAGAGGTAAGGTCAAGGTCAGTCATACAGGTGTGACTGAGAGTTAAGGTCAAGATCAGTAATACAGGTGCAACAGGGAGAGGTAAGGTCAAAGTCAGTAATACTGGTGTGACAGAGAGAGGTAAAGTTAAGGTCAGTAATACCGGTGTGACAGAGAGAGGTAAGGTCAAGGTCAGTAATACCAGTGTGGCAGAGAGGGGTAAGGTCAAGGTCAGTAATACTGGTGTGACAGAGAGGTAAGGTCAAGGTCAGTCGTACTTGTGTGACTTAGAGAGGAAAAGTTAAGGTCAGTAGTACTGGTGTGACAGAGAGAGGTAAGGTCAAGGTCAGTCATACTTGTGTGACAGAGAGAGGAAAAGTTAAGGTCAGTAATACTGGTGTAACAGAGAGGTAAGGTCAAGGTCTGGCATATAGGGGTGACAGAGAGAGGTAAAGTTAAGGTCAGTAATACCGTTGTGACAGAGAGAGGTAAGGTCAGTTAAAGAGGTGTGACAGAGAGAGGTAAGGTCAAGGTCAGTAATATCAGTGTGACAGAGAGAGTTAAGGTCAAGATCAGTCCAAAAGGTTAGATCAAGGTTATTTATATTAATGTGATAGAGGGTAAGGTCAAGATCAGTCATAGAGGTGTGACATAGAATTAAGGTTAAGTGTACAGGTGTGATGGAAAGGGAAGTTTCAAGGTCAGACAGTCATGTGCAATAGGTGAAGCTCAGCTGAACAGTTTACAAAGACACGCATGTTCAATGTCAGCCATGCAGACGTGAGAAAATCAAGATCAGCTTTAACAGAGGCAAGGTGATCAGTTACACAGGGATGACAGAGTTAAGGTCAAGATCAGTCTAACAAGTGTAAAATAGTAGGTGTCAACCAGAGCCACACAAGGGGGTGACAGAGGAAAGATTTCTTCATCTGTAAATATGACAGAGGTTAAGTTATATTTTTTTTCAAATCTCCCATCAGAATTGACACAGGCACTCGCCGTCACAAAAACTAAAACGGCACACTACATTGAATGGCCAGTATATTTGAGAACTTTTGTTTACAGGTAGCTGAACCCAACTATGTGGTCTTCATGTTTCCTGTTACAGAAGTCGTGCCTCTACATCACAACTTATAATGGATATCTCATTTTAAACAATGACTATTCCAAGTTAGAATATTGATGAAAAATTGAAACTTTTCATTTATCATGCTCTACTGTAATGTAACTAATGCGTTTATCAAGAGAACCTAATACATGGCTAAGTCCCATGTCAATTGAAGTAATTCAGCGTATACATGTTAGTGGTGTAAATTGGCAATTAAATCATTAAAACTCACCTTATTATTTGTGTTCAAATGTTTTCAGCTTTCCCAAAAAAATTACTTTGTTATGCCAAAGAAGCTATTAATTATAGATTTGTAGTTTTCTTAATAAAGTGTGCAGATATTTTTAGATTTCTTCTTCGATTTGAAGGTGTACAAATTATCCAGATGCCCAGTCTGGTGCTCCTCAACCTTGATGGAACTCGCGTTCGGCCGTCCATTGAGGAAACTCTTCACACCTCGTGTCCGACCCTCAAGAAGGTCACTCTCTCCAACCTGCTACCATATAACCCAAATGAAGACGAGGACTGAAATTGTTTATATAATGACTTCTGGAAATCACGGATACTGAAAAAACCCAGACGTTTTAAGCCGATATATTTAGTTTCTGGTAGTCGACAAGAACATCCAGTGCTTCGATGGATTTTTTAATCTATCAGATGTGCGATATGGATATTATATATTTTTCAATGTGAAGCCCGTTGATAATGGATCACCTGCCTAATCATTATTGATGTTTGCTGTATTGTTGCTAATGTTATGGGCTGTACTATAAATCATTAATTGATACAAGGTATACCTCCACTATTTTGAGAGGTACCATTTTTTGAAATTCTTAAATGTGTTGAGCAGTTCCATGTATGACGACACATGATTTACATATTACAACCGAGCAACTATGCATTAACAATGATATATACCTGTTCTTCATGTGCAGATAAAAATGGGAGCTTACCAAAAATCAGTCATGCACATTTTAACGACACTATTAGTAGATCTTGTGAACATCCTGCGTTTTTGTCAAAATTATCCAAGAATGATGTAATCCTAAAATATATGTAGTACTATTACCAGGTAAATAGTCTGTGTTATATTGCTTTGTGTTGATATCATATATTACGTTATTTGTCAAAATCCACACAGAATGACGTGATAATGAATCCGTGTTATAGATATTAAACGAGTGCATTAAACAAGCTGTTGAAGATCTATTCTTTTGTTTTAGATATAAAACATCTGGCTCCGTTTTTGACAGTACCACAGTTCATTATACACCAGCTGTTGACAGTGTGCGAGTTAGATTGATAGTAGTTTGGTGTACTTGTATATATGTACGTAGTGATGGAAGTTGAGCTAGCATGTGTATGTATGCCCAAGCATGCAGTCCAGGCTATGGGGTTAAAAAAATGTGGATTGAATTTCATGAAATTGGTTAAGTTGAACTGCAGTCAGGAATGCATGCATGAATGAACAAGTCAATTTTCAATCCATCACAACTATTTTCCCACTGCAATGTTCAGATTTCCGTAGCTGTGAAGTTGATCTTCAACTTCTGTCTACAGATTAATTAATGTCAGGAAAATTCATACTGTAAAAGATTTTACTGATATTCAAGACATCAATTTGAATGGATATATTCAAATGAATAAGGCCTTTGTCCACAAACATGTTTTGTTGTTATTTGAACGTGACAAAATTTTCTGATAAGTTTTATCTTTTCTTATCGCGACGACTCCTAAGAATTTTAAAAACTAAAATAGTAAATTTTCTTTTTTTCCCCTTCACATTGAAAGGACTTCGGGTGTTATGTGTCATTTTTGGCCTCATATAAAGTAAAAATTTCAACTTAAATTTATTTAACAATTTCTGTTATACATTATTGGTTAATTGGGGCTATCTTTTTTGTGCATGTTTTTTCCAATGCCCTACCTTAGCAACAAAAATGCTTTGCTATGCAGAAATGGCCAAAATATGGTGTTTTGAACAGGTAGCATGCAGAAATGAAAGCCTCCGAATGTGACAAACAAAAGTTCCTTTCTACGAAAAAACACTGGAATGACAATGTTAAGCATGTCGAACATTAATTTGTTTGTTGCATGTGGAGGCTTTAAGAAATTTTTAAGTATTATGTTAATTTCCTTCAAAACGGCCAATTTTCAAATGAAGATATTTATGCATTTCATTATGAAAATGTGGGTTTATGTCACTGCTTGTAATGTGCCATATCTCTTTAAAACTAGTTGTGGGATGAATTTGCCAATTCAAAATCCCCTTTGTTGTGTGTACATTGTATTGAGGCCCTCCTTTGTTGTGTGTACATTGTATTTGAGGCCGGACATAACCATTAACACCCCTAGTCCTTTGTTGTGTGTACATTGTATTTGAGGCCGTCCTTTGTTGTGTGTACATTGTATTTGAGGCCGGAAAAGACCCTCAACACCCCTAGTCCTTTGCTGTGTATTGAGACTAGGTTTAATAAAAATCAGCAATGCCACAACTGATGAACTCAACCCAAGGTCTATTTCCCTTGATGGTTTTAGCCTATTTTGGTGTCACAGGTTTAGAATTTTATTCCATCAGTATCAAATGTTGATCTGGACCGATAGTGGAGCCAAGTCCTGCTATTGCTCAGTTGAGCTGGTGGAGTTTTCCGTTTTGATGACCCTTAGTCTTCCGATTAAGTGCAACTCCCTTCAATATATCTTTATATATTAGTTCCTTCTCATTTTACCTGCTGAAACTCGCACTTACAGTAGTGTTACAGTAATCCTGTATGTCAAGTTTGTCACATTGCAAGCCAATAATGAGCTCTATTTGATATTCCAAGGTTTGAATTGTTAACCTTTCAAGTGGGTAAAGGTCAGTCATCCCAGGTGAGTTAATAAAATCAACATTTCTTGAGATATGCCATTCAGTCTCAAACATTTGCTTGAATAGTTAGCACATAAAAATGTGAAGGAATGTAATCAACCACATATATGTATAAATATAACTTTGATATGGTATTTGACCTACATATAGCATGATCTTCAAATTAAGGTACCGTTTATATGCTGCAATATAGCCAGAAATATTGATGATTGTACCGATCTTTATATTATTTCATGTCATAAGGCTACAATTTAATGTAAATTGTAGAAATTTATGGCAATATTTTGTTTTATTAATTTTGTTCAAATAAACATTTCATCATTTAAGTTCCGTCTACCTTGTTTGTGAACTGCACATTATGTGTGTACCATATAATAAAGAACTATCCGTAAGAATCTGGCTTGGGGTCATGGTTCAGATGAGAAGAGCATCAGCTATATCTTTTGTTCAAGACATCTATTTTATATAGCACTAAAATACAACATTTTACTCGTGGTACTGTGAATCTGCCAACACCACCTCAAAATGGAATAGCCGAAACATTGTGCTATCAAATGTGAACTTGAATAGTTTTCAATGAACATCGAACAACCAGTACATACAGGATTTTTTTTACCATGTGAATTCTGAAGATAATTACCGTGACACTTTTACAGCCTTCAATGTTTTCATACAAAGAACAAAAGATCAAAGCAACTCTTGGCATTCCAAAACCAATATCGTCAATCCCCCCAGCTTTCATTTTGTCTCCATCAACTATTACAGTACCACAATTAGTAAATAGTTATGACAACGAAGGATATGACCGAGTGGGAGTGCAACAGACCAATAATACGGATAGACGAATCTACCCAAGAACCATCATTTCGTTAACTATAATTTACTGTATATTAAATACTCTGTTAAGCTACCGCTTTTGAGCCTTTTACGTGGTATCTGTCTGCACATTTCACTGTATTGTGTGCCAAAAAACAAAAAACATGAAGGCAGAATAAAAAACCATGTTTGTTTCCTGTTACATGTCTGAAAAAAATTAGGGCAAGTAGGTAATAAATGTTATGCTTCCTTGACTTTAACAGTGCTTCCTTGAACATTGCCAAAAGAATTTAGGGTATGCACAAAAAATTTAAGGGCAAGTTGGGTAGCAGGAAACAACATTTTTTCTTTGGCCTTATTAAAAAACACAACAATGAAAATAGTTTTCACTTTTTAATTAATTGAACAAGGAAATTCAATCTGCTAGTGACTTCTATCCAGATGATGTAGACCCGTAAGGAAATCATTCCAGTTGTACCCCATCCTGTTCATTTCCTGTCCTTTGTCTTCTCCTTGCATGGTACCGGTCTTGTTGATAATTCTTCCCAAGATCAAATTTCATCCTCTATCCACCTGACTTGCTGAGCAGTTATATAACGCATATATACATAATCATGACATAACCATACTTACCAATACCAGGCTGAAAACATTGATCAAGAAACCTTCTCAATCAAGCTGATAATATGCCATTTCAACACAATAAATGGAATACACCTTTCATGCACAGCAAAATTCATTTCTGAGCAAATACACGGAACTTTAAAAACACAAGATTTTAAAACATTTCAAAGTTAACTCAGCATCAGTTATTGAAATGACTTTCTTTTGATAGCTAAGTTTAAAAAATCAATTCTTTAACTCTTTTTTTTTCGCAAGTAAAAATTCTTTTAGAAATATGAAAAAAATATATCAATCTTACCCAAATCAAGAAACCATGCATTAATTTTCGGTCTTCCCTATACTCCCATGTACTTCATTCTTCTGTCCCATTTTTAGACTCTAACGATGTCTTCTACCACGCTTCATATTTCATCTTTCATCAACCCATCTTCTATTTGTTTTGCCACTTCAATTCTTTCTATGCATATCACAGAGCCTATTCTCATTATTTTTTCTTTATCCAGAACCTTTCTTCGATTTTTCATTCCTTAACTTCTGAATAATTTATCCTTTAGACAGAACTTCTTCATCTTCAGAAATTGATTTCAACTAATCTGACCACATTTCTTCATTCTTCTCTTCGAATATTGGTATTACTTCAACCCATAACACGATGTGAAGAATATTACGCATTCACGATCTTCAATTTCTTACTTCAATCTTCAATTTTCTTTCTTCATCATCCTTTATAATGCAAAATAAAATATGTGAGTACAACAGCATGAAACAGTAGGAATTGTACTCTGTTTGTATTAAACAATGTTTGCACTGAAAACATTCTATTCGGATATCTGTTCAATTTTAATTCCATATTTGCCAAGATTCCAGCAGATCATTTTTAATAATCAGAAAACTTCCGATTTTGTAGAAATTAACATTGTTACAAGATATTCCTGCTTCCAAACCCTCCAGTAGATTATAATTAATTTTAGAATACTTAAGGGAACAAGAGGCCCATGGGCCTAAACGGTCACCTGAGTTAACAGTATTTATTTCTGTTGTTGAAATATGTACCAATTTGAGTAAAAAATAGTATAATGTTAACTTAACTTTGTCAGGACCATGAGCTGATCATTCCTAGACCAATTTTAAGTGAGATCGGCCTATTAGAACTTAGTAGCAAAATAGCGGCCATGGCAGCCAAATTGTATTTCTGATTGACCCGAAAAATAACAACACTTTGTCAGGACCATGATTCGATCATTCCTACAAAGTTTCAGTTCAATCGGCCAAGTAGATCTTTACTTTAAGTTTGAAATAGTTTACCAAAATGGCAGCTGTGGTGGCCATATTGGATTTCTGATCGACCTGAAAAATAACAACACTTTGTCAGGACCATGAGTCAATCATTCCTACAAAGTTTCAGTTCAATCGGCCTAGCAGAACTTGACTTTAAGTTTGAAATATGTTTTCAAAATGGTGGCCGTGGCGGCCATATTGGATTTATGATTGACCTGAAAAATAACAACACTTTGTCAGGACCATGAGTCGATCATTCCTACAAACTTTAAGTTCAATCGGTCCAGCAGAACTTGACTTTAAGTTTGAAATAGGTTTTCAAAATGGCGGCCGTGGCGGCCATATTGGATTTCTGATCGACCCGAAAAATAACAACACTTTGTCAGGACCATGAGGCGATCATTCCTACCAACTTTCAGTTCAATCGGTCCAGCAGAACTTGACTTTAAGTTTGAAATAGGTTTTCAAAATGGTGGCCGTGGCGGCCATATTGGATTTCTGATCGACCCGAAAAATAACAACACTTTGTCAGGACCATGAGGCGATCATTCCTACCAACTTTCAGTTCAATCGGTCCAGCAGAACTTGACTTTAAGTTTGAAATAGGTTTTCAAAATGGCGGCCGTGGCGGCCATATTGGATTTCTGATCGACCCGAAAAATAACAACACTTTGTCAGGACCATGAGGCGATCATTCCTACCAACTTTCAGTTCAATCGGTCCAGCAGAACTTGACTTTAAGTTTGAAATAGGTTTTCAAAATGGCGGCCGTGGCGGCCATATTGGATTTCTGATCGACCCGAAAAATAACAACACTTTGTCAGGACCATGAGGCGATCATTCCTACCAACTTTCAGTTCAATCGGTCCAGCAGAACTTGACTTTAAGTTTGAAATAGGTTTTCAAAATGGCGGCCGTGGCGGCCATATTGGATTTCTGATCGACCCGAAAAATAACAACACTTTGTCAGGACCATGAGGCGATCATTCCTACCAACTTTCAGTTCAATCGGCCCAGCAGAACTTGACTTTAAGTTTGAAATGTAAAATGTTAACGGACGACGGACGACGGACGACGACGGACGAAAACGGATAGCAATAGGTCACTTGAGCTAAAGCTCAGGTGACCTAAAAATCTTATTAGGTTAAATGAAGCCTTCATATATATTTTAGGAAGCTATTTAGCATAAATCCCAGAACTCTGACTTTCTCTATCAAATATTTGTGTTTCTATTTTCAATTCAATGAGCACGATTCAAAATAATGTACACAAATTATTTCAATTCAAAGACATTAAACATTTTTGCAATGTATACAAGCTGAATAAAAAAAATACAGTAAAAATGTACTATTACATAACAGAGACAAGTGAAATTTACGTCCTTCATCGTGACTTCAGCTTTGCTAATATGAAATGTATGGACAAATGTTGTTGAGCTTAATTATAAGCAGGAACAATTTGTGTCAAATGCTCTCAAAAATGAAAGATTATGAATACCTTCATTTACACAAGAAAGTCATTTTACACCAAATCTGCCAGATATTTTGATCAACTTTCATCTCATACCCATTTAAGACAGGACAATATGAAATTTGTGTTAACATTGTGAATACAAAATTTCTCATTTTCATATAAATGACAATTAAAACCTGCCCTATTTTTTCTTCATCTGGTTCATACTTTTTGCATTGTTTCATTCTAAGTATACACAAATTGAGGACTGAAAGTCTGTCCATCTGTGGTTGCTTTCAAGTCCAATCTAGCACTGATCATGCCGACTTCATATATATGTCCTTTGCAATGTATTCTGATATGACAAAAATATTACCATTTGGTAATTATAATATGATCAATGTCCTAGATGATCTCCCAAGAAAGAATATATCTTAAATGTGAGGGAAACAATTTTGAAAAAAAGGAACATTGATTCAGAAAAAACAATTTACAAAATGATTTTTTTTTTACTGGAACACTTGGTTTAGAGACCCAAATATAACAAATTGATCATGAAACAATATGATGAGTTTTATAATGCACAGTACCAAGCAATAGTCTCTTCTGCTATTAACACCGCAGCGGGAAAACATGCCACACGTCTCTATGGTGTCATGACAAAATTGTATGTACACAGACTTTTTGAAAGTCTGCACACTTATTTTAACATTTCCACATGTAGGAGCCTGCATCAACTATGCTCTGTCTTGGTAATGAACAATTTTACATTGTCAGTATCCGCTACTTCCTGCTGAGAACTTATACTAAGCTCTCTCAATAATGACCACCTGTTAGAAAAAATATAAAAAATAGCACATTTCTAGTTTCTTTTTAAAGATAGGGTTTCTATAGGTAATAAATTGTTCATTTAGCTTTGGTTCAAAATCATTTCACTTTATCTCATACAAGATAACAGTAGAATTTAAATGCTCAATACAGTCAATGATGTGTCCACTTGTACTTCACCTGAACACTGTTTTACCATGACCACATGTACAACCCACACAGAAATAGTTAACACCAACCAAAATTTCCAATAAACGAAAGTCAGCATTCTGCCTTGAACTATTAAATTCTGGTGTTATCAACATTGCTTTGTTCATTTGGGTGCCTGTTTGCAGAGACCAATTCACGAAATACAGAGGAAAAGGGATTCAATTACATTGCAGAATTGAACTTGTGATATCAACTGGGGTAATGATATGATGCATAAAACTAAGAGCAGTATGTAATATCACTGTCATGACTTCTATTTACAGACACATCTCCCAATGATAACCATATTGATTTTTTTATCAGGGTGAATGTCTAACCTTTACCTTCTATGGGTGATTCATTTAGCATTGGAACAACAAGCAAATTCATGGAATTTATATCCCCCGCTTGCAGGACATGTTGTAGGTTAACATTATTGAGGTTAAGTTTAAACACGTGAGTATCGTACTGTTGAGACATATGTATAGCTTGAAACTTGAAGAAAAAAAAAGCCCTATACTTCATTGATTATCCGTAAATATGCACAAATCACATCGGTTGGCAAACTTAGCATGAGTTGGATGTGAATAAGGAATCTGGTTGAAACATCTTAACAATATCTACAGCAATTATCAAACGAAAACCAAAGAGAACCGGAGAAGGTCCCATAACTCTGCCAAATAAAGTCCGCTGAAAGTGGTCATCATACTTCGCCGAGCCCTTAAACCGTTGAACCCTGTTATTAAGTTTGAAGACAATCGGATAATATTTGCAAGAGTTGATGAACAGAAACGGCAGATAATTACATTATTCGTTATTTAACGGGCCATAGCTCTGCCAAATAGGGTCTGCTGTAAGTGGTCATCACACTTGGCCAAGCCCTTACGGCATTTAACACTGTGACCAAGTTTGAAGAATATCGGTTAACATTTGTTGTAGTAATTGCACAGATACAAAACCCAGCAGATAATATGATTCGTTATTCAAGGGGCCATAACTCCGCCAAATAGGGTCCGCTGTAAGTGGTCATTGGACTCGGCAGAGCCCTTAAGGCATTTAATCCTGTGACCAAGTTTGAAGAGAATCAGTTAAAATTTGTTGCAGTTATTGCACGGAAACGAAGCGCAGCAGAAATTGACATTTTTCAATATTCAAGGGGCCATAACTCCGCCAAATGGGGTCCGCTGAAATAGGTCATCGAACTTGGTCGAGCCATTAAGACATTTAACCTTGTGACGAAGTTTGAAGAAAATCGGTTAACATTTGTTGTAGTTATTGCATGGAAACGAAGCGTGACAGACAGACAAACCCCAAATTAATATCCCCCGATTCAGTGGATGCGGGGATAACAAGAAAAGGAAACGAATACAATTTTAATGATTTTTGTTATCCTAGTATTTGCTGTACTTACGTGGAGAAAATGAGCGTGATCGTGACCTTGAGTTGTATCGTCCTCGTCTGCCATGATTTGGGGAAGGGGATCTGCGACTTCGACCACGTTCACCGCCACCGCGTTCACTACCCCCACCACGTTCACCACTACCCCGTTCACCACTACCACGTTCACCACCACTATAACCACTCCTGATAATCAAAAGTTAGAACATCATGAATACAGAAAGAAAATAACCGATTCGTCACATATCATCCACTCCGATAGCTTTGGCTTTACTCATTTTACCCAAGTATGCCAACAAATTATCATCAGCAGTTCGCTCTTGCATTATTTACTACATGTAGCAATAATACATGTATATATATTGCAAAATGTTTAATTATATGATTTTGTGTTAAGCCAGCAAAGAAAACTGTCGAAAGTGTAACAAATCCAAGTATCAAAGTTAAAAGATGCAAAGAGCAGGAAATAAAGACCATTATGCCAGATGTATACCTATCTGTTAAAATGATTTAACAAAACATATGACCGATCATTTATCACTATTTAGCAATTGAACTTTGAAAGACAGTGTGCAATTCTTTAATTGAATGAGAACAATAAACATGTAATACTTACGCAGTTGGTTTGCCAAGGTATATTCCTGGCGTTGGTGTGTGTGCTCTTTCTGTGATCGAGTAGTCTACTCGTATCCTTCGTCCATCAATTTCACTTCCTGTGCATCGATCCTTTGCCTTCAAAATTTACATCATCCATTTAAAATACCAAATTCCAAACACAAGTTTCACACAATTTTATGATAACTGAAGTGCAATCTAATTTTAAGTCAAGCCAAAGGTCTTAATAAGAACACAATGATCACATAATTAGAACGTTTTGAAGTATTGTGTAATAGTAAATTAATGTGCAGGATAAGGTATTCATAACTGAACCCAGTTGAAATATGGACGTAAGGGATAAAGAAAGTTTTTGGTTTCCCGAAGTAAGGTCTATTTCCTGAAGCAAAGTCGATGGAAATAGTTGCCACAGGAAAAAGACCTGGTCCAGGGAAACTAAAAACTTTTTTGTATTCCCATATTTCCTATCTTTAACAGTTTCAATGCTCCAAAACAATATGCAAATAATTTTGTACTGGATATATGTCAAACTGACATCAGTGTCACCCTTGTCTGTTCTATGAATGAAATACATTTATCATTAATATAACATAAGTTAGCAAAAGCTGTAAAGTATGAAGTAGTAACACACTGGATTCTGGTCGAGAGGAAGTCCTAGATTCAGCTATGTTCATTCCTTCAGACTCTACAGCCCTCCGACCCAAGATATGATTATAATCAAGGAGTTTGATATTAAGTTTCCGTTGGTGTACATATTAATGAAGTCTAACACATTATAACGGACATTGCTGAAATGTTTGTGCAAAATACTAGTTTCTGCCTCGATGAAAATATGCAACTTACTATCCACATTAGTTTGAATTTTGGTCAAAGAAGCGACTACATAAATTGAAGCACTCACTTTCGTATGCATTAAAAATGTCAATTAGTTTTGTAACTGACCTCAATAGAATCTTCGATATTTCTAAAGTAGATAAATGCAAAGCCTCTTGATCGTCCACTCTGTAAAATATAAATATTATTACTATAATTACATGCTTAACGGCCCATCAACACAGTATAGGTCATTAGGGCCAACAAATGGTCGATAAGTGCAATTCTTTTAACCAACAAATTATGTACATAATGGGCACTGAACTGGAAACAAACACCAATACTTGCAATAAGGTCTGTTCCCGTTATAAATGTCACTGGAATAGCCCAAAGTCAATGTTTTCCAAAGATGGATTGAAATATATAAACAATTTTATGTATCTTATCAGTCAATAGTTATTTTCACTTTTATGTTCATCGAAAAGGAGCCTGATTACACATATATTATTAGGCAAAAAAAAGAAAGTGCATTGTCGTCTGCATATGCCTACCTAGGGTCAATAGGTAGGCATATTTTTCTCTCTTTGAAAATATTTTTACTGTGTTTATATAGAGCCGGATTTCTGACTTTAACAGTGCCGATCACTAAATGCCAATCAAAACTTTAGGATAGGCACAAAAATCTATGGTCAGTAGGGAACCGAAAACAGAAAACATGCATACAGTGGAATCTGTATTTAGCGTCCACCCAAGGGAAATTAAACAAGAGGCCCAGGGACCTTAATAGCTCACCTGGTATTTTATTTTTCAATTTAAAACCTGCTGAGTACCATTCAGGTTTATCAAAGGAGTACAAGTAACAAAGTTGCATCTTCCATTTATAAATATTCAATTCCCTTTGCCCAAAGATTCTCTAAAACAAGTTTGGTTAGGTTAAAATCCCTTCAACGGTACAGAAGGAGAAGGATCTTTAATGTTTTCCTCTATTTCCCCTAATGGGCCCCACTAATCTGCCCCAAAGAAGGGGAATCCACACACCTCAGTTTAAACAAAATTGATTCTTTTCTCCCTAAGCATGCTTCAGACTGCATTTGGTTTAAATCCCTTCACTTGTATAGTAGGAGAAAAAAAATCCTCTATTTCCCCTATTGGGCCCCGCTCCTATGCCGCCAGAAGGCCCACACCCTCCGTTTATACAAACTTGAGTCTCCTTTGTCCAAAGATGCTCTAGGACAAATTTGGTCAAAATCCTTCAATTGGTTGAGGAGAAGATTTTTAAAGATTTACCTATTTTCCCCTATTTGGCCCCGTCCCTCTGCCCCCAGGGGGACCATACCCTCCGTTCATACAAAACTGAGAACCCTTTGGCCAATGATGCTCCAGACCAAATTTGGTCAAAATCCCTTCATCGGTACAAAAGGAGAAGGATATTTGATGTTTTCCTCTATTTCCCCTAATGGGCCCCACCCATCTGCCCTTAGAAGGAGGCCCACACACCTCAGTTTATACAAAATTGATTCTTTTGTCCCTAATCATGCTTCAGACTGCATTTGGTTAAAATCCCTTCACTTGTATAGCAGGAGAAAAAAAATCCTCTATTTCCCCTATTGGGCCCCGCCCCTCCGCCCCCAGAGGGGCCACACCCTCCGTTTATACAAACTTGAGTCTTCTTTGTCCAAAGATGCTCTAGGACAAATTTGGTCAAAATCCTTCAATTGGTTGAGAAGAAGAACATTTTTAAAGATTTACCTTTTTTCCCCTTATTTAGCCCCGCCCCTCTGCCCCCGGGGGGGGCTATACCGTCCGTTTATACAAAACTGAGAACCCTTTGGCCAATGATGCTCCTGACCAAGCTTCAGACTGCATTTGGTTTAAATCCCTTCACTTGTATAGTAGGAGAGAAAAAATCCTCTACTTCCCCTATTTGGCCCCACCCCTCTGCCCCCAAAGAGGCCACACCCTCCGTTTATACAAACTTGAGTCTCCTTTGTCCAAAGATGCTCCAGGACAAATTTGGTCAAAATCCTTCTATTGGCTGAGAAGAAGAAGATTTTTAAAGATTTACCTATTTTCCCCCTATTTGGCCCCGCCCCTCTGCCCCCAGGGGGGTTATACCCTCCGTTTATACAAAACTGAGAACTCTTTGGCCAATGATGCTCCTGACCAAATTTGGTCAAAATCCTCTGAGCCATTCAGGACAAGTAGCATTTAAAAGGAAAATGTTGATGGACGCCGGACGCTGCACCATGGGATAAGCTCACTTGGCCCTTCGGGCCAGGTGAACTAAAAAACAGTCGTTTAATGAAAGTGGTCGTATTATGAAGTTTGATCATATATTTTGTACAGAATTACACAACCGATTTTAACCAAACGACTCCTTATTCAGACGACATTTGTAAACAGACTACCACCCCAAGCACACATTTACACATGTTATACAGGTAGTTAAAAACAACATCGTTCAACAGATCAGGTGTATAACTAAACAATAGTCAGGTGATAGTTATGAAAGTAAACAAACAACTAAGAGCATCTGAGAATATTTCTATTATATATATAATATATCATATATGTTATGATATTGATCAGAACAAACAATCGCCGGAGACTTGTTGAAGTTCTCAACTTTCACGACTGTGTTTTCGGTAATAACCATGATTTAAGCTAACTTGCTACGAAAGATATTGCTGTTTAAATGTTAGCTGTTCAGATGGGTTCACGTATATTATTCCTTTATTTTATGGTGGAAACTGGAAAGAGAATCCACTTGAAAAAATGACCTAACTAAAACCAACAGTATGATGCCAGAAAAACGTTTTTATTGACGTTAGTACTTTGGCGTTGAGAAGTTCAGGGATGTTATTAAAGGCTTTTGGTTTAGTGCGCAGTTGCGCTGACATCTAATGTTAATTCTGTCGTAAACATCTCTGAACAGACCCGATTTCAAGAATGAAAATTTAGAGTTACACAGTTATTTCAACGACCGTTTTGTATATTTTGGTCAAACATGGTCGCTTAAATGTATCAAATGTGGTCATTTTATGTAATTTTGGGGTCAGTATTTGGTGGTCGCTGGTCCCGTTAGACAGATGGTCACTTAATACAGTTAAATTACATAGTAAAAACAGTTGGGAGGAATGAAAAGTGGTCGCATAAAGCAAATGGTCGTTTAATACAGATGGTCACTTGGACTTTTTTTTGGCTGTAGGAGAATACACTGACCAGTCTCAATTGCATTTTTTTAGGAGAATAGACTGGTATAAATTTCAAACAGTTTTTTTGGGGGGGGGGGGGGGGGGATTTCTAACAAGACAAATCAAACAGTGTTATGCCCATACGCCCATACCTGTCTGTCATATACAACTTGTACTTCTTCAAGTGAACCATAACGTGAGAACACGTCTCTAAGGTCTCGCTCTTGTGTGTACAGACTCAATCCAAAAATACCCAAGCATCGCGTTGGCTCTGGGTTGTCCTGAAAGCATAAATAATTGAAATTTGCTTCATGTCAACCTGAATATTAAAAGAAACATCGTTAAATATTTACACTTTAGACATTGATATCAACAAGAGGCCCAAATGGCCTGTATCGCTCACCTGGATATCTAAGCAATCATGGCAAAATATTCTCCAAATGAGATCCAAGGGAATATGCCAGACCCCAAGGCCAATCCTTGTAACATATCTGTATTTGATTTTTTATGCCCAGCAATTTTATGTATGGTTATGGGGTGGGGATCTCAACTGTTTCCAAGCTGTGACTCAGAAACTAGGTCCCTAGGGTTGTGGTCAGACCCAGGATCAATTCTAATATCATGACTGCATTTGTCTCTTTTTGCCCAGCATTTGTAAATATAGTTTTGGGGTGGGGATCTCAACCGTTTCAAAGTTATGACCCAGGGGTTATGTCTGCAAGGGTGGGGCACACCCTGGGGTCAATTCTAATATCATGACTGCATTCGTCTCTTTATGCCCAACAACTGTATATATAGTTTTGGGGTGGGGATCTTGACCGTTTCAAAGTTATGAACCAGGGGTTAAGTCTCCAAGGGTGGGGCCAGACCCTAGAGCATCCTGGAAGCAAATGTGCATTCCTCTCTTTATACTCAGCAATTGTATATATGGTTATATGGTGGGGATCTCAACTATTTCCAAGTAATTTTTTTTTTTGGCCCCACCCCTTAGCCCGGGGGGTCAGCCCCTACATTTGTACAATTTTGAATCCACACCACCTAGGGATGCTTCCAGTCAAATATGGTTGATATATATCTCTTAGTTCCAGAGAAGAAGTCACTTAAAGTAATATAGCTAAATAGCCCTTTTTGGCCCGGCTCCTCAGCCGCCACACCATTTGTACAATTTTTAATCCCTGCCTCCCATGAATGCTTCTGATTAAATATGATTGATATACAGTGCATAGTTCTACAGAAGTCGTTTGTAGCAATATAGCCAAAATGCCCCCTTTTGGCCCCGCCTCTCAGCCCCCTGGGGGGTCAGCCCAACCATTTGTACAATTTTGAATCCACACCACCTAGGGAGGCTTCTAGTCAAATATGGTTGATATCCATATCTTAGTTCCAAAGGAGATGTCACTTAAAGCAATATAGCCAAATTGTCCCCTTTTTGCCCCGCCTCTCAGCCCCCTGGGGGGTCAGCCCCACCATTTGTACAATTTTGAATCCCCACCACCTAGGGATGCTTCCAGTCAAATTTAGTTAAATTCCAATCAGTGGTTAAGAAGAAGAAGTCGTTAAAAGAAATTGTTGACGGACGCCACGGTATGGCATAAGCTCACCTTGGTCCTTCGGACCCGGTGAGCTAATAATTAATATATATGCTAATAGTATTAACTGTATATCTATGTGCTGTAAAGTGCTTTAGAGTGGCTTATGTTAGCTAGATAGGGCGCTATATCAAATGTTGTATATTATTATTATTATCAAATTATTCAATATCAATTCATTTATATGACAATAATGCTAATTTTCCAAAGCTGAAAAAGTGCAATTAAATTTTGCTATTATTTTAAAATACATATTCCTTCCAAACCTACAATATTGAATAAAATTACTGATTTGTAGTCCCTTCACTTTGGAGATTTTTAAATATCTCATTCTGATAAAAAAAAAAATGGTCTGTAACATTTACAACACATACCCTGTTGCCTTGGTGTCGCCGTCTGTTTGACATAGGAGAGGTGTCCTGAAATTTTAATAATTCACAAATTACAGGAAAAGCACAAAACTCTCCAACATAACTCCTGCAGTTTGATGTATCTACACTTCCATTCAGGTATGTGGCTTATCTGCATTTATCCCTGCAAGTGATTGCGTAACAAACCAGGTCTGGGGTGATTCACATCAATTATTTTTTCAATTTAATATAATTATTCTGAAACATGTGTTCACCAGGAATCAATTTATGAATACAAGTTCTCTTTTTACAATCTTTTCAAAATCGTTTTAATCTGTGACTGGAATATTTATTACAAATGACGGTTGTATCAAAATACTTGAGCAGTCTAGTTAGTAGTAACTCACCCGCTTTCCTCTGTATCCTCGTCTAGGTGGTGATCTGGATCTGCTTCGGTACGAGGTTCTACGTCCCCTGTCATGGTCTCTGTAAGAATAAGAATGTATGCCTCAACTACAATGATTTAGAAATTCTTACATATTGGAATGATAATGATGCGCTACAAATGGAGATATTCTTTTTACTAACACAATATTTTGATTGGATTTTGTCTGATACTGTTACATTTCGCATTGGTGTTTTTTTATTGAAAACAACTAAGGTACGTGTGGAAGAAAAGTGCTGTCATCAAGTAATCAAATTAATAATTTCAAGCATCCTGCTCAATTATTGAAATATTGCCAGCTCAATTACTTATATATCAAATAATGAAAATAACTTTATCACTGCAACTTATCATGCACTTTTGAACAATAATTTTAAAATGTTATTCAATTTAATATATTCAATAGTGATATTACCTCCTGCTCCTTCCAGCTCCAGACCTGAAATAAGATCAAACAAGAGGCCCATGGGCCTTAACGGTCACCTGAGTCTATAGTATTTATTTTTGTTGTTGAAATATGTACCAATTTGAGTAAAAAATAGTATAATGTTAACTTAACTTTGTCAGGACCATGAGCTGATCATTCCTAGACCAATTTTAAGTGAGATCGGCCTATTAGAACTTAGTAGCAAAATAGCGGCCATGGCAGCCAAATTGTATTTCTGATTGACCCGAAAAATAACAACACTTTGTCAGGACCATGAGGCGATCATTCCTACCAACTTTCAGTTCAATCGGTCCAGCAGAACTTGACTTTAAGTTTGAAATAGGTTTTCAAAATGGCGGCCGTGGCGGCCATATTGGATTTCTGATCGACCCGAAAAATAACAACACTTTGTCAGGACCATGAGGCGATCATTCCTACCAACTTTCAGTTCAATCGGTCCAGCAGAACTTGACTTTAAGTTTGAAATAGGTTTTCAAAATGGCGGCCGTGGCGGCCATATTGGATTTCTGATCGACCCGAAAAATAACAACACTTTGTCAGGACCATGAGGCGATCATTCCTATCAACTTTCAGTTCAATCGGCCCAGCAGAACTTGACTTTAAGTTTGAAATGTAAAATGTTAACGGACGACGGACGACGGACGACGGACGACGTACGACGGACGACGGACGACGACGGACGAAAACGGATAGCAATAGGTCACTTGAGCTAAAGCTCAGGTGACCTAAAAAACTCATTTAACCCAGAAAATGTTTAAATGTGAATATATATTGTAAAGATAATCAATAGTCTACTAGACTGACGTCAAATGTCTGAAAATTCTCTCACAAAAACATGTGTATATAATGAACTAGGAACAATGGACTCGGATGACACATTGATGGTTTTAACAACACAGTTGTTGATCAAATTTTTCTCATTTTTTTTCAATAATAACAAAATGTCATGGTTTTGATCAGTAGCCAGGAAGTGTGAAGTCGGGTTGTTGCTATACCAAACCCGAACGCGTATATTAGAAGGCTTCTGGTTGGTTGTTTTGTCATTACTTTCGATATTCACGGCAGTGTACCCTAGTAATGACCAAAGGTGTGCGAGAGAATTTCAAACAGAAAAAAAGTTAAAAAAATGGCGGACGTGTAGATTGAACCTATGAATATGATGGTAAACATTTATTCTCCAGCGTCACCTACGATGATAATAAAGGTTTTGAAATGGTTGATGTGGAAATACTTTGGTGTAACATAATATGTAACTTTCCAATGAACGGCTGTGTGCCCTACGCAAACAGGAAAATATTGGCGGATCGAGACGCACATGTCGTCTGCAGATAAGGCCGAATTGAACATTGACACGTTTTGAGCAGATTTATTTCTTCAAACTTTTTATCAATGATTTAATCATAAACAAGACTGTAGCTAAGATATGCCGACTGTGACAGTAAATGTATTGAATGACGACCTGAAACCTGTAGCAAATCACATGCAATTCTGGACGAAATACCTGACTTTTTTTATGCGAGAATCTCCGTGCAAATGTACAGCGTCTTATTTCAAAAATGAAGTTTGTAATCTGTTATCATTTGACAATCATATTTGCGGACAAAAATAATTTTTAAATGATCTTTCTCTTTCATAAATCTGATTAATTAAAAGTTTCACTTTTTCTTACCTTTATTACAACCTGTACAGGTAAATACTGAAGCAACTTTAGAATTGAAAACGTTGATATAAACTAGAGACAACAACGAACAATTTACATATGACTTTTTTTCACATATAAGTTATAACAAATATTTTTTCAAGTTATGCACATTTGAAAAATCAAGTAAATTAATTTAAATTTTAATAATTAATTCAGCAGTGGTGTCCCTTAACATAGAAATCAATGTAGCAGCCTTAGGGTTAAGATATTGAGCTGTTTAAAAATGAATACAGTTTGAGAAAACTAAAATGTACATTTCTGAGTTCAGTGGGGTTTTATTAGGACTTTTTGGAGCCAATAATGGGCCAAACTTTATCATAGTTATGCACAATTCCCAAAGTTTGTAGTTTACCCTTGAAAAATTCCTTCCCAATTTCTTCCTCAAATGAGACATACATGCCCCTTTACCAAATAACAAAAAAATCCTGGAGTTGGTGAAAATAACAGGTTATCTCACCTTCTTCTCCTGTCACCATAAGGACTCCTTGATCGTGAACGACTGTGAGATCTACAAAACAATACAAATGTTCAAACTCAATCCTTAGTTACAGTCAGAAGATATCTATTCAGATAATGAAAATATTTAAGTTTATGGGTATATTTTTGGGGTGGTGGCAGGGAAAAGATGTAAAAAGTTGGATTGGATTATTCAGCCATAAAAGGGAAATGCTTCTCTTTGTGCTGCACCGATTTTAAATGTATTACGATTCAGATTTAGTTTCCAGACTGTAATTAGTGGGTTGTTTTAAAATTATGCCATTTACCTGCTGTATGAACGTCTCCTGCGATGACGTGGTGACCTTGACCTTGATCGTGACCTTGACCTAGAGTACCCTGCTCTTCTCTGGTTGTTGTAGTTGTATGGAGACCCGGACTTGGATCTGGATCTAGACAGACGTGATGAGTGTGCTGATAGTGAACGTGAAGGTGCAGAATTATTATCCTCTTCTCCTACTGTTGTTCCTGAATGTTCACCTGTGTCTCTTGATTCTCTGGATGCCGACCTTGATCGCTGAAACACATACTATAACTTTTGTTAAATGCAATCATAATCAGCAATTTAATAGAATAAAACAAAACAACCAATCAATTGAATAATCCACTGAAATTGTGGCAAACTTCTATCACGCGAGCCAAACAAATTTAATTACCACAAGCTGACAACAGTTTTAAAATGTTGGCACGGAGAAGCCAATAAGAAGCTCTCAGAGTAAATCTGCAGAAGACCCTTGAAATAGACCAGACACAAGGAGTCGTGTTAAAAATTCATGATGTTCTCAGTCACAAATTTCTACTTCTACATGGTAGTTGAAGATAATGTCATGAGGGAGAAAGAGATTTAGTAGATTCCGAGAAAGCCAAAATGATATATATCTAGATTTAATTTTGAGGGTACACTGACAGGAGAGCAGATTTAAAAGATTCAGCAGTAGAACAGGAGGATATGAAATCTGATGGGATCTTATTCCACTCAGATATTAATCTTGGAAAGAAGGATTGTTTTCTGACCTGGGTTCTGCAGTTAGTATTTGGAAGGATTGGTGATGGGCATGCCTCGATTGCCTGGTTGCTGGTATTAGTAAAGTGTGTTTACTAATAACTACCTGATTGTTTATAAATTTGAACATCATACATAGGCTTGTCTCTGCGTCTGTCAGCAAGGGGTCACCATTTAAGATGGTTCTACACATATCAGAGACACTAGATGTTCTATGAGTGTAGACGTTTTTGTTTAGTAGATAAAGAGCAGCCCTGCGTTGCACCATTTCAATCTTATTGATGTTATCCTGGGTGTATGGGTACCAAACAGGACAGACATACTCTAGGGATGGACGGACTAATGAATTCCAAAGTCCAATAGTATGTCCAGAATCTGAATTATACATTCCACTGGTAGTGTCTGGAATATTACAAATACGGGACATGTATCTTAATTGTATACGATAAGCCTCCCGTCGTTTTGTATACCGTTGTTTCATGTTTGTACAATGTCTTGATTGGAGATTGTTCACCCAAGTGACAACAAGTTCTACCAAAACATCTAGAATTCCCTAAAATTAATTCGGCGTATTTTTATCAGACAGTTGATGGGATGTCTCCAGTAAATGCTGCCAGTCTCGATTTATGTAGGACATGGTCAGTCCGAGTCTATGGACAGAGCGTCGGTGTCAGAAAAGAATGTAAAAATTGTAATCAGCACTTCATTACAATTAAGCTTAGCACTGCGTATATATATCATGATGAGTTTTGCTAATGCATACTTACTTCTCCGTTTTCACTCATGTTGAATGTGTTTTATATGAGAAATGATTCGCCACCAAACAAATACAACGTGCAACCAACGAGAAAGAATGGCGGCAATATACGCTTCAAATGCATTCTGGGTAATTTAAGGGGACGTAATGAATTATAACTTCATGGAGCACACCACCAAGATAGTTATTTTCTAAATTTTAATGTATACAAATGTTTTAATGGAACCGGGAGGAACTCAATTTTACTGCATTACTTTAAAAATATCAAGAAATTCTGGGATGAAAGAATTTTGTATATGTCATATATCATTCAATTTCGTCAGACGTTTCGCCCCAAAACCGTAACGCCACAATGAGATGTCGCCCCCCAAAAAACATAACGCCCCAAATAATTCGCCCCCAAAAAACATAACGCCCCAACTAGTTCGCCCCCCAAAAATATAACGCCCCGCAAATTACTAAACATAGCATTTTTTTTTATAAATTTATAATGATCACAAATAAATAAAATAAAAAAACGAAAACAAAACTCAGCTTAAAATTCACCTAGTCAGCATCTCCGGTAGCTTAAGCTGAGGTTTGTTTTCGTTTTTTTTTTTATTTTATTTATTTGAGATCAATATAAATTCATAAAAAAATGGCTATGTTTTAACTCGCCCTACTTTATTTGTGTTTATAAATATTATTTCTTTTATTTCTGTCTGTATCATTGTTATTTTAATTTTCTTATTGTAATTAATATCGTAATTTTAGTTTGTGACGGTACTCTAATATACATATATTTTATCTTTTCAGCACGAAAACGTAAAACTTGTCGAAAAGGGTAGCATTGGTATAAATAAAGCTAGTGAGGAACACTGAGTAGCAGGCCAACATGTGCATGTAAACTGCCGACGTCTTTATGTCAATAAATATCAAATAGACAAGAGTGTCCGCCAAAATGTTAGTTTTGATGGTAGCACGAGCAAGGACATCCACGCTCCAGCTTTGCGTTGGAAACAACTCTTCAAATTTTCCGAACATTGCCTTTTCTGTGGACAAACTGCGAAAACTTCACAAAAGAAAAGAGGAAATGATGTAGCTATAGTGAGCACAGGTAACTTCCATAATCAAATTCTGTTGGCATGCGACGAACGTCAGGATGATTGGGCGACCGAGGTTCGTTGTAGACTTTCTGGTTGTGTCAGTGACCTACACGCAGCTGACGTTTGTCTGCCATTACACGTGCAGCGTCAATTTTAGGACAAAAAGGCAAATACCGAAAGCCTTTTCTCCATTAGCTAAAAACAAACGAGCGAAACAATCGTGTGGAAGACATAGTAACCAGCATGAGAATTTTCTTTTGATTATAAATCATCATAATGAAAATGAAGAGGAACAGATTACGTAATCAGACCTGGTCAACAAGATGAGGGATCTGTGTGGTGACAACGCATATTCACAAAGTCACATGAACAATTACTGAGTTTCAAGGTAAGCCAAATGTAGTAACAATAAAAATGACAGGGTGGTGTTTGAGTTTTGTTAATTTTCTTTTTAAAAGAACTGATAGCCAGAGTACCAATGACAGAATGACCGAGATTGTTTCATAGGCGCATGACATCAGGAAAGAAACTACTGTTGTAGATTCTAAATCGATTTGTCCATAGATGGTGATTGACTGTATATTGATATAAGGGTCAATGATATCAAATAAATAATCAGGTGTTAAGTGGTTGAGGATTTTATACATTAAGACTAGTTTATGCTTATTCGCCGATCTTTTAATTTTTCAAAACCTGTTTCATAGTATAATTTATGGTGAGATGTATAACTTCTTAGGCCAGTTATAATTTGCATAGCTTCAATTTGAACAGATTCAAGTAGTTTTTCATCCCCAATGTTACAGTTGTATGTGTGTATATTTAAGATGATATATATGTATTAAGATAATTAGATAAATTAATTTTATATTTTTCAATAACAAATTCAAAAAAGTTACTACAAAGAATAACAATCTATAACGTATTCTGCCAAGTAACATTGTACATTTCAAACCAACTTTATCATTTTCGTTCTTCCTATTTGAAAATTTGAAATAGCTGACATTCTGATATCTCAATACAGGGTAAGAACAGTATTTTTGCTTTTCAACTCAAACCCAATTGGCATATCATTCTGAATACCTTTTACTTTTCAAAAAATGACTGACGATCTCTTTCATCAATATGCAAACTGTAAGTCATCAAAACAATTGATATTTTACAAAAACATTACAGGACAATTAAAACAAANCTTAATAACAAGTGCTAATTGTAATGGGGGGGGCATTACAGATGTCCCCCAAACTGCCCCCATAGTCGCGAAGATGCATCAGAAAAGGTTAGGAATGCCATAGTCCACTTACAATATACATGTGAATTGCGACCAATCAGAAGTGTCTGTGGTTTCTATGACAATGATACCTATGCGATTGATTTCGAAGTCCCCTAATACACTATGGCTACATTCGCGTATCCCGGTTGAAACGGTACGTGTGGCACAGAAATTGTCCACGATAAACGAACACACTTGGACCGTTCTATAAGCAGAGCTAAAAATCCACAGTTTCGGAGAATAAAAAACCGTGTTTCAAGAATATTATGACCTTCTTTCATCCATCCACTGAATTACATAACGTAACTTAAAAACCACATGTGACTTGACATTGTTTGAGAAAGAAATAACGCAAATTGGCAATAGTCAGCATTTTAGTTTCGGTCAGGCACGTCTGGACCCCTCAATCTAAACGTGCCAAATTTTCCTGAGGTCAGCCTCGGTCCAGATCTGTACCTATCGCTTTCTTTACAGGTTCAACCGGTTCAACCGTTTCAACCGGTAACGCGAATGTACCCCTATATACCATTTTTCATCAAAATAGAACAATATCTATCTTTCGACCAATCAGAAGCCTCCATCCCAGATAGCACGACATTGTCGGGCCAACGGCGCGATGCGACGATCGCATATCGACGTTGGCCCAACGGTAAAGTTAAGCTGCATAGCCAACGATCGCATCTAGCCGTTGGCCCAACGGCGGAGTTAATCTGCATTGCCAACGACCGCATCTCGCCGTTGGCCCAACTGCGGTGTTAAGCTGCATTGCCAACGATCGCATCTCGCCGTTGGCCCAACTGCGGTGTTAAGCTGCATTGCCAACGATCGCATCGCGCCGTTGGCCCAACGGTGGAGTTTAGCTGCATAGCCAACGATCGCATCTCGCCGTTGGCCCACGGTCGGAAATTAACTGATCATCGAACCATAGTCTAATGGATGTCCGGTATAGCCTCGTTCTGAATGCAGCTTAGCGGGAAAAATTGGAAGCGGGTACGTTTTGCAATGTCTTGTCAAAAGTAAGTTACTGATGCATCTGCAATTATCTACGAGTAGGATGAAAACGTGTAAATGATAAAGGTGAATATAATATAAGATCTACATTCCATTTTCATTGACAACTCGTTTTTAAATCACTTCAATTCGAATTCTGGTTGTTTAGCCCCATGTCCTGTTCGGACCATCTGCCCATGTGACATAATGGCATGGAGAGTGATGAACATCGTGATTGGATAATTCCAGATCCCGATTTGCATATTTACAGGGAAAGGTACTCTTGTTTGGTTGAAATACAAAACGAAATCGCTAAACTCTAAACTGTATTTTAAACAGACAGAAATGTGAAATATACCGGGCGGGGTGTTCGAGCGTTGTTACAGGAGTACAATTTTAGCATTATCAGACTGTGGCCCAACGTTGGGCCAACACTATTTTCAGACAATGGCCCAACATAATTTTCTGCCACCAGTGGCCCAACGTTGGGCCAATGGACAAAAAGCTTGTGTATGCCTACGTTGGACCAACGGTACAGTTTCGTTGGGCCAACGTTGGCCCATCGGCGGTGTGCTATCTGGGAGGTGGTAGCTATAGCAACGAAACCTATGCAGGTGAAGTCGCAGTCCCCTAATAACCATATATACCAATTTTCATAAAAATCAAACAATATATAAATTTTGAGCAATCAGAAGCCTCCACGTAGTTGCTGTGAGGTTGCTTTTGCAATGAAACCTATACGGTTGAAATCGCAGTCCCCTGATACCCCTATATACCATTTTTCATAAAAATCGAACAATATTTAAAATTGACCAATCAGAATGCCTGTATATGGTTGCTATGGCAACGAAACCTATGCGGTTGAATTCGCAGTCCCATAATACCCTTATTTACTAATTTTCATAAAAATCGAACAATATATAAATTTCGACCAATCAGAAGCCTCCGCGTGGTTGCTTTGAGGTTGCTATGGCAACGAAACCTATGCGGTTGAAATCGTAGTGCCTTAATACCCCTATAAACCAATTTTCATTAAAATCGAACAATGTCTAAAATTGATAAATCAAAAGCCACCGTGTCGTTGCTATGGCAACGATCTGATCGGAATTTAAAACACAATGTGCACACCTCCCCATGCTCATCTATAAGTTGGCAAAGTTTCATTAAGTTCTGTCCAGGCATCTATGAGTTTACGTCCGGAATGTTTCACGGCGGAAGATATTGAAAGAATAATAAAAATACCAAAAACAATATGTCCCTCAAACTTCGTTTGGCGTTTGGGGGACATAATAAAAAAAACATATGCCAATTGAGTCTTGAGGCAATCTGATTAAAATCATATGTTACATGGCTTCGTTAACTTCGTATTTCGCCTGCGAAGACATGTAACAGAGGATTTTAATCAGATTGGGTGTTGTGTAGAGTAAACGTACGTACTGGAGGCAGTATGTTGTTGTAGTTGCCTCCTTGTGATAGCGTGGAGTGCTATCTCACCGAAACACTATATGCTGAAGACACCCATCACATTATTCCACTCTGTCACATTATACTGACATCAAGTAAACCAGTCGTTGCTTACCCTTAATGCTTAACATTCAGCACGAATAAAACCCACCACTTTTCATGGACTTTTGTATATCTCGGTCTGGAGAGCCTTCCTCACCTGGTCGAACATTCTGCTTTACAGTGTAATATGAGGTGGTGCCTGGGGAGACGTTGCGTATTATAAAGTTCAAGAATAAAAATACAAGTTAAGGTACGATAGGAAAAGAAAAGTTCCCAACTGTCGCTGGTTGGTGCGATTTTTCAGATCGCTAATGTGCCATTATACACTATATATCATGTGCTGCATTGCATAAACAATTTCTCCGCACATCCCAAGTGTTACAATGGGGACAGCAGATCAATTTTGGTTTCGTCAATGTCCCATAAGCAAAAAAAAATACAAAAACGAATTCGAAGGCCTCAACATTAGTGATATGGTGAGATATGAAAGTGATGGATGGATTGTTCTTCGTCTGGTACCTCTTCTTTGACCCGGCTTGAGTAGTTGTGCCTATCCAGTTCAGCTTTCAGTCAGATTCATCGAAACTTATACAAGCCCCCCCCC